GGCAGGGACCTGAAGGAGCTCCAGTATCTTTGTGTAACGCTATCAAGCAGTAACAGAAATGGATACAACCCACAAGATAAAATTACCCATGAGTCAAGACTGATATGAATAAATAGAAGAGACAGATCTCTCTTACAGAATTACAATTAATATATGCGGAGGCAGTGATAGAATAGAAAAATCACCATTTGTCAAACAGCACAGACACTAAAACTAGTGGGTGCAAGTGAGAGGAAGAGCACCTGCAGTTTCAAAGCCTCTCCTCACAGAACTTACCTTGCTCACCAAAGTAAAAGTAGACACAGCAGCAGAGACGCTAAGCCATGCGATGCAGTCTGTAGCACCAATCAGACAGCTGACCTCACAGATCCAGGATGTGATGCCAGAAGGGGGCCTCACTGCCCAGATGCACCCTGGGGAACCATGGTTCTCACTCCTGTTCTAGCTCAGCACAGCTCTGAAGGTTAGTCAAGATAATGGCAAACCCAAACTAAAGGACATACTACCACACTCTGGCCGGTCAGCTTCAGTAGTTACAGATGTGAAAGATAGGAAGAGAAGAACTATCACTGGCTGGAGAGACCACAAGACACAGTGATGCAGTGCCTGTGGGTTCTTGGTTTGCAGCCTGGACTCAAAGAAGGAGAGGTAGAAGATAGCAGAATCCAAAAATGGCCTGTGTTTCATTACGTGTTGTGTGAAATTTCCTGGTTTGATCATTAAACTCTGGCCATGTGAGATGAGGGGAAGCTGGATTATAAGCAGTTTTTGCAACTTTTCTGTCACTCAGAAAATGTTTCAAAATGAGAAACTACAAATTGTTAGATAAGGGCTGGAGGGATGGCTCAGTGGTTAAGAGCACTGGCTGCTCTTGCAGAGGAAGGAGGGTCAGTTCCCAGGACCCACATGGCACCTAACACCTGTCTGTAACTCCAGTTCTGGGGGATCCAATACCATATTTTGGCCTCTGCAGGCATTACATGTATGTGGTATACTTACATACATGCAGGTAAAATACTTGTACACACAAAATAAAAATTTAAAAACAGATAATTTAAGAAACAAGGAAACATGAATCTTTATAGTTATGGCAAATAAGTTTTTGTGCTATGAGAGAGAGAGAGAGAGAGAGAGAGAGAGAGAGAGAGAGAGAGAGAAGAGAGAGAGAGAGAGAGAGAGAGAGAAACAGTAGGATTCTGACAGGAAGATGATGGTGAGGTTCTGTGTTTATTTCATATGAGAAAAAGTTATAAGGGAAACAACAACCAAATAAACCACTATTACACAGGATAAGAGGACTCAGGTGAATAGACAAGAAACACATCTCTCCGAGAAGAGGCAGCTGTGCAGTCTGAGCTAGCACTCTCTTTATCTGGTCACAGATATTGCTTCCAACAGATGACAGACCTGACTCCCAGGGAGCACCAGGAGGAAACAGAGGGAAGACCTGCTTCCATTCTGAGTAGAACTCCCAGCTGCCAGGGACGCACCACCTCTCCAGTGACCAGGCTACACTCACCCCTCTCCCACTCTCCAGGTTTCCCCGGGATCCAAAGCAGGCTTGGGAGCAGGTGGGGCTGTGAGGCAGTGGCCAGAGGCAGGCAGAAGGCCAGAGGCCTCCTTTGTACCCAGCCAAGCACTAAGCTTGGCTCAGGGTGGGACATACAGGCAACTGGGCAGACTGGCTGGAGTGGAAGGTGGAGGTGTTTCTGGTTAGATGTGCATACTTGTCCCCAGGTCCTGTCAATATGGCACTGAAAGGGGACAGAACAGACGTGGACTGTGCCCCCATACTTCACTGGGCACTTAGCTTCCTGTGTTGCCCTTTCAAGGGGGAAATGGGAAGGAA